AACATTTCTTATTATTATCACTGTTGAAAACAGTTGTGCTGCTCAATATGTTAGTGGAAACTGTGATACATTTTTTTTTCAGGATTCTTTGTTGAATAGAACAGCATTTACTTGAAAATAGAAATCTATTGTAACATGATAAATGTCTTTACTGTCGCTTTTGATAATTTTAATGCATTCTTGCTGAATTAAAATATACATTTCTTGAAAGAAATCTTACTGACCCCAAACTTTTGAATGGTAGTTACCTATATGTAAAACATCCAAGCATTTTTGTGAATAATATTTGTATGAATTCTTCATTATTTTAATTTGTGACACTGAACATGTGGACTTTGGATCATTCTCAAATATTCTCAAGTATTGCTAAATGCTTAGAAATGGTGTGAATTTGTTTAATCACTTTTTACACAAATTATGCCGATAATATAATTTTTCATCATTTTGTTGGCAGGTGGAACTGGCTCTGTGGGATACAGCTGGACAAGAGGACTACGACAGGCTGAGGCCCCTGTCCTACCCAGACACTGATGTCATCCTCATGTGCTTTTCCATAGACAGCCCTGACAGTTTGGGTGAGATAATTTCCTAATTTCGGCCTTTAAATATTTTATACAGTAAGACCACATTCCTGTAGTCACTGTATTGAAAACCATACTCTATTCACACAGAGAATATCCCAGAAAAATGGACGCCGGAGGTAAAACATTTCTGTCCAAATGTCCCAATAATTCTGGTGGGTAATAAAAAAGATTTACGGAATGATGATCACACTCGACGGGAGCTGCTGAAGATGAAACAGGTGTGTGAGCTAACACTTTCCTTTTTATAAAACAGTCACTATATTTTTATGGAAATAACATAAAAAAAATTTTTTTTGCTGTTATTGATTGGTGGAAAATTGCTGTTATTGCCGTGTTATGCTGTAGTGTACTAATGCCCTGTCTATGCTTTCTTCCTTGAACAGGAACCAGTTAAACCAGAGGAAGGACGAGACATGGCTAATCGCATCAATGCCTTCGGCTACCTTGAGTGTTCGGCTAAAACTAAGGAGGGTGTGAGGGAAGTGTTCGAAATGGCCACAAGAGCGGCGCTCCAAGCCAAAAAACGTGGCAAGAAGAATCCCTGCGCTTTGCTATAGAGAACGAGAGAGAGAACGAGGGAGGGAAAGGGGTAACCAAACTAGGCTAAGGAAAATGAAAGAGCTGTAAAAGTTAGCAAATAGAGGGAAGAAACGCCCCCTAGTGTTAATTATGTACTCGGGGGTCAGGGAGGGTAATTTTCAATCCAGGCCAAAGGAAACTACAGAAGATAGTAGGGTCAACTGCACCGGCAAAAACGGACTTAAACATTTTTATGGCCATCAGTCCTCTTTCAAATCAAGATTAGTTGACCTTAAGCCTTCAGACTGATCACAAGCGTAAGGATAGTCTATATGTAGGGTAAAGATTGACGTGGTTTCACAGTGGCTCACAATCACCGATTGCTTTTGGGGTGGGATTATATGCGATGTATTCTTTACCACATCATCTGCTTAGAAGATCGGCACTGTTAGCAAGAACAGAAACAAACGACTTGGTCTAAAAATATTCTTTTGGCACTAAGTGCATTATTCAGGGTGTAAAAGGCATTAGTTAGTACCCTACATCATGTATGCGATATGTCGAGCAGGGAGTTGTTTTTTTGGATCAAGACATTGGCCACACAACGTAATACTCCCGTGAACCCCTTTATAAACCTCCCAGGAACCCAGTGCCATCTTATGTAAAAGATTCATGCATGTCCTTCGTACTACGATTTTATGTTTAATGATCTTTTTTTCCTACATTAACATGCTAACACTGTTGGTTAACACAACCGGTTCCTCGGTGCTCTCCTGTCCTGTTGCAAAATTGGCGGTTTAGTCACTGGTTTAAAATAGCTGAAATAGTGGTAGCCTTACAATTCTTTATTCCAATAAGATTTAAATATATCTTTTTTTTTTTTTTGCCATTTGCCTATAAAATTCAAAGTAAGATGCATTAAGCAATGATCATACTAATTCAGCTTTTTTGTGAGTATTTTATGTGCTTGCTCATGTATTGTAATTAAAAAAAGAAAGACTTTGGGTTAATCAGCCTTTGTGGAGCTCAAAGCATAACCACAGCTTTGTATGTTGACTGTCAGACACTGTTCAATTTTGGCAATATATATATAAGTTTTGTAAAAGGTGACAGTAACATAACTCCATTTTCTCTCCCTTTTTTGTTTAATATTCCCCTATTTTTCTTCTGTACTGTATGTTTTTTCTTTTTTTGTGAAATTCTACTGGCTTATACTATATCATTTTTGCGTATTTTACAAATTCTAGTATCTTAGAATTTAAAGTTTTAAAAGAAACAAAGAAGGACAAAAGTAGCCAAAATGTGATTTTGAGAGAGCTGTTTAATGCCATATTATTAAATGCAAGTAATTTCTTAGAAGGGATTCTGCATTTCATTGTAAGAAAAGAAAAAAAGAGCCTTTGATGCATCAATTATCTTTTGTATACCAGTGCATCTTTGGATTTCCACAGACTCATTTGAAATGTATTGAAAAAATAAATTCTTATAGGGTAACTTTGCTTGGGTCTTTATTCTGTCTCTTCTCCGGGTTATGTTTGCGTAAAATACCGTAAAATGTCTTCACCAGCTAGATGTGGTCTTTAGTAAACAAGTACACATGCTGACAATGCTAGGAGTTAAAAGCGGAGGTAGATAACAAAAATACCAAACTGTTGCAGGTTAACACAGGCTTTAACACCATCAGTCAGTTTTTACAGTGATCTGTGCAATCCAGCCACAAATTCGTGATAATAGGGCTCTGCAATGAGAGAAAAACGTAAGTCACAGCCTTTCTCATGTTAAACTTTTCATTTAAAAGTACATAAATTACATGCTATCAAATTCTAATCTCAAATCCTACCAGGTGATCTGACATCTGACCTCCAGTGTGTAACAAACCTGAGTCTGGCTCAATGATGGCATGTCTGATGAGGAAGTCCAGAACCACCATGGCACAGTTCGGCTTAAACTCCTCACTGACCAGGAGATCTTTCACCTGAAATCAACACGTGACACAGGGGAGAATGGGGGTAAGATGTGCCACCCCTTAGTCTAGGAAACCGCACATATTTTAGAAAGCTGCCTGTGAGAGAAAAGTAACCATTTTCTATGCTAAAATTTTTTGCATGTCAAAGTATGTTTTCATGTTCAAAATACATTTCATGTCAAAGCAAACTTGTCAGTTTATTTTATATGAAATACATTACATAGCATTCAAACCTAAACTCACATTCTCTATTGGATAGTAGTAAAACGCTTGCACTTCTCCGTCTCCAATGTGAGGCTGAAAATTGAGAGGCAGCTCTAAATCAAAAACAAACTGACACTCAGGAAATATTCCTTCCTCATCTTCGTAGGTGTAGCTACAGAGAAAAGAGACAGAGGGAGGCATGAATTGGAGATTCAAGATTGCAGAACGTCTTTCAAATTAGCTAAACATAGTAAACAGTTTTCAGGCAGAAATGGTTCTTGTGACAGGCATTCATGTCTTTGATCACATTGACTTGTTCTAAGCCTGTGTGAAACTTGAATTCTGGTCATCTTCATTTGTGCGCACAGAATATTTCTCTGGAAACCTGCCAGTTGGAAGCTATTTCTGGCATTTCTGCTGTATTAATCAGTCTCTCTTGCAGGAGAGTTGAGAGAGTTTATATCTACCCTGATATGTGGGAAAGGTTTTGAATAGGGGAAAACTGTACCATGCATTTTAATCTTAAAAATCAGCAGTTACCAGTTGTTTTTGTGCTTCGCAATAGGTTCTAAATGATCTGTAATGACCTAACCTAAATAGTGGTATAGAAATAAGAAAAAAGGATTTAAGCACCTCACAGTTCCCACAGGACGCGCTTGCTCTGCCAGGCCTGGAGGGATGCAGGCCTCCTCTTCACACTCTTTTACCATGGTATGCCTTACACTACAGCCTGCTGCCAGTCCTCCAGCCGCCTGAGTGATAAATCAAATCCTTTAAAGACCCCATTACATCAAAATAGCTTTGAGGTAATCTTAATGCTAGTGTACTTCCAGAAGTTCAATGTAGTAATTTATAGCAAATATTACTCTGTATGTTTATATATATATAAATTATTTTCTACACTATTGACCCAAACTTGATGTACAGGGTAAGTACAATTAAAGTCTTACTTGGGGAAATTCCCACAGGTAAAGACAACAATGCAATGTGCAAAAATTAAAAACGGTGCAAACATAAATTCCATAGGCAACAGACTTACAAAACCCCACACAAAGGCAGAATACAATACACAAGTGTTTAAAGTGCTATATGTACATGAATGTACTATTTAAGTATGTATAAAATAAGTTGTGTAATTAAACGGCAGCAGTACAAATGTAGCACTAACATAATAAGAGGGATCCTTGAGGTCCAGTACTGAAGTGCAGAGAGTGTTGAAGGTAAGTTAAATGAGTGTGTAGTGTGAAGGAGTCATAGATCTATGTGTTAGAAGTAACAATATGATTCAACATACGTTGACTCAACCTGTGGTGTAAGCTTGGTTCGGCACTTCTTGTAATGAGCTGATTAATTAGTTTATTAATAAATTACCATGTTGTCCAGTCTTCCTGGATACGTCTGTTTGGTCAGAGATCGTCGTGCTAGCCACATATTAAGGTTGCCACTTGAATCCCGAGTGTAGCCATTGACATGGACGCCGTACCGTTTCACTCCAAACAGACCTGTATTCGACCATTATTTATAAACAGCTATAAGTGTCACTGTCTGTGACAAAGTAGAAGCATGAAATTAATATTTCATTAACATACTTGTAGCTGCTCTCTCCATATACATCAATGGAGGGTCGCAATACCTGGGCATCACAGCATATTGCTGAAAATAGAATTCATCCTACGTCAAAAGTGAGGAACAAATCAGGATTTATAAAGGCGAGAACTGCTATGAAAATGTCTGTTTGTATACGCCAACTTAAAGGCATGCTTACAAGGTTTTTGTACTCAAATTTACCAGTAATTCAAATAATCCAATTTTAATTAATTATATAATCTGATCCAATTAAATGTTTATTATAATGCAAGGATAAACAGACAATCACAATATGCATTAATATTATTTTACGCACAAATGAGCAACTGCTTTGTGATAATTGTCACTGAAATTAATAAAAAAATAAATAAAACAAGAATTTGAATTGATACACTTGTTGACACTGAGCTTGTATTTAAGATGAACTAAATCTGAAACTAAAACTAAATCCATAAAAAAAAACATTTTTGTTACCTGAAATAAAGTAACCGTTAAATGAAATAAAATCAAATGTAAAAAACTTTATTTCACATAGTTGCCAAGGCAATATTTCTCATTTTCGTTTAATTTAACTTGATGTATTTAAATAACTAAAACTGAATTAAAAATTAATAAAAACGATATAGACATTTATAAAATAAACAAAAACTACTAAAAATGACAAAACCACACAACAATGACTAAACTTGAACTAAAATTAAAATGAAAAAGGAAAGAAAAAAAATTCAAAACAACTGTCCAAGAGATAAGAATGAAGATGTGTAATTATCTAGCATGTACCAGAGACGTCTCACCTCATCTCTCCAGCCTATGAGACAGGTGAATGATGCCTCTCTCCTCAGCTCCTGCAAGACCTCATCCACAGCCACTGATCTGCTCTCAAAAGTGTCAAGTCCGGAGCAGAAGGTTATAGCGCTCCCATATGGTCTGAAGACAGCAGGAAAACGACCAAGAATTGATGCTACTTTTGGGGAAATCCATCCAACCTGTTCTCCAGCCACCTCAAAACGTAGACAGCTCTCTAAACTAGAACCTGGAATAAATCAATGCATTGATGTTGAGTAAATGAATGCACTTGTATATCAATTGTACATGTATATTATATTAGTATATTAGTCAATTGTAAACAACAAAAATAAAGTAATAAAATGTTTCCCTTGCACCTTGAATACAGAATAGTGTACAGAACTTTAAAAAAAAAAAATATATATATATATAAACATCTATATTAATTATTTTTTTTTAGGTTTTCTTGACATTTACATGTTTTTTTTTTTTAATTTACAAATTAAATTTTTGAGTCATGGATATCAAGTAGGCTAGTCGTCTTTACTCGTTACAAATCTTTTGATTCAGAAACTGACATTTTTTTCATAATGGAAGAGCCTTTGTCAGCATGAATTGAATTTTAATATATTTTTACAGATCAAGGAAGATTTCATTGACCTATATATGGCATGTGAATTCATGCTGGATCACATGCATATGGATTGCTCCGTGTCATATGATTATTTTAATATTTCCCCACCTGGTAGATGAAAGTTATTCATTCGACGCAGGAGTTGGAGCATTTTCTCCGACCACGAAGCCATTCTGTCGATTTCACACGTGTAACAGTTAATTGTCCGTTCAGAAAGCGTGCATTATGATTTTGGGGGATTTGCGCTTGATTTGCCGTTGACATGCTGTCATACACCCACGGGCTTCATGCTCGCCTCCATTGTTGCGGTTCCTGTTGATGTGAGCGCTGATTGGGTGGCAGGTTCTGTTGATCTGCGCGCTGATTGGTTGAAGCTCTATGACGAGATCTTGAAGAGCTGCTCACATGGGCGAATGTAGAACAAAACAAAGGCCGCTCAGAATGTTACTGGACCAAAATGCTTTATAGCGAATGCCAGTGTTGCCTAATCCGCGGAATTGGGATTGTTTTTCATATATGCGGGTTGAAGCGACACCAATAAGGTGATGTTTATCCACTGGGATGCGAATTTTACCAGGGGAAACCCGCCAAAAAAACGTGTATTTTACCCCCTCGAAACGCCATTGGGCTAGTTTTGAGTAGCAATTGGGCGGGGTTTGTTGTGAAAACCTGGCAACCCTGATGTATGCTGAATATTCAACACTGAATAACAGGTCATGTTATATGGGAAAGGGGTTATTGATCAGTTATGTTCTGTGGGTCTTCAGTCATTTTACGAGTTCACATCAAATAATCTTTGTGATACAGCATTGGCTTGTGGTTTGGCACAGACAGTGAGATAAGATCAGTTTATATACCATCCTTTTGTGATTGACAGTATTAAATCAACATGCTCATTATTTATGTCTATAAGTGACAATTTGGTTAAAACAACCTAATATGAATGACAAAGTAAGTCATGGCCCATTAGTTTTTCATTCATGTTCTTTACAGGGTCTTTACATTGATTGCACCAGGCTAAAATCCTTGAAATATTAACCACAATTTCCACCAAAATACCAACTTTCAATGGCATTTTTGCCTCAAGCTATGTATCATTGCCATGCTCAGGCATAGATACATTAGATACAGTCGAAATACAGTCATATAGTCTACTGCTTTTGTGCCAATGAATAACAGGATTTATCCAAACCCTAACAAAGAGATCCATTGCAGATACAGACAGAGAGAGAGAGAGGGACAGCAAAAGTGTTGGTTACATTGCATCGCTGTAATCTGCACCACAATTCTGGGGTCAGATCTCCCTCTGAGCACTAAAAATATACAGACAGTAATCACTGTTGTTAGAGGACTGAGAAGTATCTAGTAGTAGGCGGCTTTTTAATGAGTCAAGAAAAGCAAACTGTTCCCAAGTGCACACAGCTAGATAAGAGATAAACAGAAGAGATACGTTTCTTTGCAGGGGTTGCTTTCTATCTTTCTATCTATCTATCTATCTATCTATCTATCTATCTATCTATCTATCTGTTATTCTAGCTATCTCTCTATTGTTCTTTCATTCTGTTGATCTGTCATTCTATCTATCGTTCCATCTGTCTGTTGTTCCGTCTATCTATTGTTCTTCTATCTATCTTTTATTCAGTCATTCTATCTGTCTTGAGTCAGTCACATTCTCTAAACTGTCTGGGCGGTAGATTAATCATGTTCTCGACAGGCTTGGCTCCAGCCGTGTGTGTGGACGGCTGGGGAATTCTAGGAAAAAGTAAACACTGATTCTCAAGTTGTCATAAAGAAAATGCAACGCACTAGACTGTTTGCTGTCTGGGGTTGGCTTACTTCAGTTGTATATCAAACCATATTTTTGGAAGCGTCTTCAAATACACTCTCATTCCAAAAGTGGACCGCAGATGAAGGATGTTGCTAAACTTATTTCTGTGTTATTTGTTTGAGACATTTATATCTGGTCTAATCTGTTTTTTGGTCAGACTCCGAGCAGGTGTATAAGGTAAACCCAAAGGCAGGAAGATGTGGGTGGCGTGTTTACCTGTTTTAAATGATTGTTTGTCTTCTTGAACATTCAGAGTTTTTATTTTGAATGAAAGACAGGAAGCTCAGGGCATGTCTAGGGGGGGAGTATTACATCAAATTGCTTAATAATTTTCTGTGTGGGAGGCAAAAACAAAGAAAGGCTATAACAAACTGCAGTGTAGGAGATGCAGACAGAATTAAGTAGAACTAAATTACTTATTTGTCCCAGCCTGCTCCAAACACATTTTATATAATCATAACAAGCTTACACTTGTGTACTAATGTAGTGCTAGCTGACCACATTTATTTGCACTGATTAAGGTCCATATTCTTAAAAGCCGTTATTCCAATAAAAAAGGTTTACATGCTTCACAGTGATTGGAATATTCCTCTACACATGGTAATTGAAACATAAGACATCTATTAATGTTAGTTTGTGAAATGTTTGAAAAAAAAAAATTGTTCTCAATCCAAACGTATTTCTTCAAAATCAAAAATGTTTTAACACCTAAAAGTACAAATTAATATTTTGTTATGTTAAATGGATATTCTGGATAAGGTATCTAGATGATAAAGAATAATATGTCATATTGTTGTGATTGTTAGAAATATTTTGGAATATTTGCTAAGCTATTTCACACTGTTTACCAGATTTATTTGACTTGCACGTAAATTTGGAATAATATACACTGCCATTCAAAAGCTTGAGGTCACTAAGATTTTTTATTACTTTAATTCCTTTTTAAAGTATTTCATTTTTAAATACTTAAAAAAAAAAACTTTTATTCAGCAAGTATTTATTAAAATATTTTATTTCAGATAAATGCTGTTCGTTTGAACTTTCTATTCATCAAAGAATAATTTTCAGGTTTTTTTTTTTTATATTAAGCAGCACAACTGTTCTCAACATTGATAATAAGATGAAATCTTTAGTGAGAACCAAATGAGCATATTAGAATGATATCTGAAGGAAATCTGCAATAAATTATATTTTAAAATATATTAAAAATAGAAAACCGATATTTCAGAATATGACCGTTTTTATGAACTTTTGAATGGTACTGTAGATTTATTTTATTGCAAATGAACATGGTTATTTACTCAAGCAGTTTAGTATAGTCTAAGTTTACATGTGTTACTATTTTTGTAAATGATTACACTTGTGATTTTTGCCTAGCTGGACAGACCCAAACCATATTCAGGGATCCAGAATATTAAGACCTGAGGGTTGACTCTTATGACTCAAGTAAGCAACCACATAGTGACATCCTGGCAACCCCATTAGCCTAGAATAATGGCAGAACATTGATTGTAAAAATGTTCTCCATTAAGATAATTTCAGTTTCTTATTTATGTCAATAATTAAACTACTCAGAAAGTGGTACAATAATTCTCTGTAATGTTATTTAATGAAGTGGTTGTCATAGCAATAGTGCTCCTATGCAGTGTAATGGCCACACTGGACAGAAAGGGGCTGCATGGTCAAGCAAGGTTGCAAAAGGCAATGGAACTTGAAGAATTTCTCAGGACTGTGGTGCCGTTGGCCCTTGGACAAACAAAGCTACCTTTCATATCATCAGGCTCCCTACAGACCAATGTTTTCTCTGCTCTTCCATCAAACTTGCACTAGCAGTGAAGCACAAACAATAATGAGCGTTTTAAGAGAGACTTAAAGCTATGTTTTTTTCATCAACATAAATCTGAAATCCCACACACCAGAAGTGCATCCGTTGACGTCAGAACATTAAATCGTGTCAAAGATAAGATTTTTTTTTCCCTTGAGGATGCTCTAATAGTTTGTTTGGCTCTCGGGACTGTTGGGCATTCGTTGAGAGGGAAAGGAGAGGCGGTTGGTCTTCAGGCCAAGTGAAAGAGGCGCTTTGTTGAAACTGTTTTGATTTTATTTTTTCCCTCTCACTCCCCTGCTTCCGTTCCATTCCTTCCTCCTCACTCTGCTCTCACCTTTGCATTTCGTTTTTCCTCGGAGGGACGGGTGATGGGTTGAACATGATTTCCAGAGGCAGAATATAACTGGCCTTTCAGAAGGTGCAGCCCTCAGAGTCATTGAGACAGCTGTCTCTAGCAGATCATACCTGAACTGACTCCAGCGTACATTAACAATGTACAAGCCTTTAGCTTTGTGTCTGTGTCTGTGTTTAGCACTTTTAGTGGCTGAAGGAAAACGAGAAAAGGGAAGAAGACAGAGACAGAGGAACTCCAGACGATTCTTATCTGCTGAAGATGCACCTGAGTATGATAACCGATTCCTTCCAGGTGAGTAATAGCATTTTATTTAAGCCAAAACATAAGATAAGATAATAAGAGAAGAAGATACAGTTTTCTAATATTGTGATTTTATATTTATATTTATTGTGCAATTGTCAAAAAGTGGTTAAGCAAAAAAAATTAACAAAAATAAGACATTTTAAAAGTATGTGTGTGTATAATTATTATTAAATATTCATTGTGCAGTTTTATTTAGAAAAATAAGTGGTTACACTGAATTATGATGAGCTAAGATGAAAGGTCTATACAATATTTGGATAATAAAAGTATTTGGACAAAAGTCTTACTTAAAAATGTTTGAATGGCAGTGCATTATATAACAAAACATTAAACTAAGTGGCATTTATTTGACAGAACACAAATACATTTCAAGCAAAACAATTTACATAATTTGTTTTGTTGCTAGGACACCATTGTTAACTTAAAGCAAACTGACATCATGCACTAATAATAAATTATATATTTTTTTATTTAATTTGATATTATTTTGTTATTTAAAATTAAATGTTATTATTATATTATATTATATTATAATGCATTGTCATTCTTGCATTTTAAATGTGGATTAAGTGTCAAATTACTTGTTGGAGCCACTTTGTGCAGAATTCTGAAATTTTGTGTGTTTGGATACATGCCAGGTCATAGCAGTCAGTGCTTGGTGAATGGGATTTCTCTGTTTGAGGGGGTTGTCTGGTCTCCGGAGCCTTGCAGTGTGTGCCAGTGTAAACATGGAGCAGTGAGCTGCCGAACCATCCCCTGCCCAGCCAGAGGTTTGGGAACCATCATCTCTCTATCTCCCAGCAGGATTCTTTGATTAATAGAATTATTTGAATTAGAAATATTTGAAATATAAATATTTGTATTTGAAAACTTTTGAACAGTAGGCCTAGTTCTATTCTACCTTCTTTTTTTTGAAGGTAGAATACCTTCAAAAATTACATTCAAATAGTAATTGGATTAGCAATTTGTAGTAAGAGCTAAAGAGAACGGTGGGCACCCTGTGGTGATACAGGCTGGAAATAGGCTTTTAGTGTGGTGCAGTGCAGTGCTGGGAAAGGTGCCATAAGGGAGTGGGATGCTTGGTGGTGGGTACTGATTTTCTGTTTGCCACACCATGTATAGCTTCACCCACCTTGAACTCTGTGGCCAGTAAGTCCAGTCCAATATCTGCGGGGAAAACAAGCTCGAAAAACAGACTGACAGGAAATGGAAAACCATCTGTGGGGACGAAGGTTCTGGAGGTGAAACCAAAGAAGAACAAGATGGTGGTCACCCCAGCAAAAGAAGTATGTAGATGTGCATGAGAAAATGTAGTATGCTTCATATACTTCATACTGATTTTTTCCCCTCATTAGTGTACTTATTTACCTTTAGATATGTATTTGATGGTTTTAACTGGTTTAGGGTGGTCTGTCTGCTCTTTTTAGGCTATGCTGGTGCTAAGCTGGTTTACCTGGTCGGCCTATCGGTCTTCCATTGTTGCCAGATGAAAAGTATACTTTTGCCAGATCAAAAGTAACCATTTTGGTTCCTCAGATAACCTTTCAGTGCACCGTTCTTAAAAGAACCATTTTTTCTCAGCGTGAAGAACATTTTATAGTTTAAAGAACCTTTTGTGCAATGGAAAGATTCTATGGATGTTAACAATTCCTCATGGAACCATCAATACCAATAAAGAACCTTTATTTTAAGAGTATTAAACCAGACCAGCTAAGAATAGCAAACCACTTTAGGCTAGTTTTAGGCAGATTTTACCTCTTTTAATTGTTCTTAAACATTTATGTTGTCTATTCAGCCACCCTCAAATGTCCCTAAGAAGCAAGTGAAGACAAACCAGGAGGTGATTGTGAGTCTGGATCCTAGTAAACTGCCTAAGACCCCTATAATATCCACAGGACCTCAGTATATGAGACCAGTCCATTTTGATATTGATGACCACGATGATGATGACTATCTAGAGGACGACAGTGACAGTGATGATGATGACGATGATAACCGCAGCATTCTGGTGTTCAGATCTGCTCTTCGCCCTGTAGCAATCGAAAGACGAGTAATGCCGCCCACACTCAAACCAGCCATACCACGAGCAGAACCAGCCTTTGCTCTTCCTACAAGAAAATCTGTGATACTGCCCACTGCAAGGCCACTGCCAGCCCCCAGTGGGCGATCGGTGGATAGAGGTATTGGCCGTCCAATCGTCCGCACCTCTGTTCATATGGAGTCTCTCCCAGCAGGCTGCCTGCTTTCAGAGTCTCTTATAGCTTGTGGAAACACTTACCTTACCCAAATGCCCATCATCAAAGATGCAGGGGTCAGGAGTCTCTTTCTTGCAGGTGAGGTGAGCGCAGTTCACCTTGCTCATGAAGACAGATAATTATCTACGTGTATTATAAGATAATACATGTAGATATATTTGTCTTAGAGAATATACCTTGAATTAAGTGTATTTTCTTACCTCATTGACATATTGTTTTTTCTTCATTTAGGCTAAACCTAATTCCTTATATACTATATATACACTACCATTCAGAAGTTGTGTGTGTGTGTTTTAAAAGAAATAAATTATCCAAAAATGCATTAAATTGATCAAAAGTGATAATAATTATTTTTTACATTATTACAAAAAATTATACTTCTTTTGAAGTCTCTCTTCATCAAAAAATAGAAAATAGATATTATTAATTGTAAAAAATATTTAACAATGTTTAGATTTTTACTGAATTTTTGATCAAATAAATGCAGCCTTGGTTAGCATGAAAGCCTTTATTCAAAAACTTAAAAAATCTTACCGAACCCAGGAGTTGCAAAGTTTGGGTTCAGTAAGATTTTAAAAGTTTTTGAAATATATTTAAAGAAATATTTGTCATAATGTGAGATATGAAGTTGTGACATACAAAAATTGTATACATGTACAAATTGTGACATAAAAAGTCAAAATTATGAGATGGAAACTACTTTTTTAATTTTGTTAAATTAAGAGGGGGTTTAGAGTCTGGCAATAGGGTTCTGTGTTATTAGAGTTTGACAGATGTTCTTGCATGTTTTTACTGAGTTCTAACATAATCTGTCAGTGTCCAATTGTTTGTCCATCAGATGATTTTCTGTATGTGGCACTGCAAGAGCTGGCACTGAAATTAGAGAAGTGTAAACAGAGCACACCGTCATCCAGAAAGAGGTGAAAAATGACTCTTGTCTTCCTGGAATTTTGCAGATAACAAAATCAGCAAGATCCCATCGCATGCTCTAGCAGGTCTTCCCAACCTGGAGTGGCTCGACCTCAGCAAGAACAAGCTGGATGTTTTCTCTTTGGGACCAAATGTGTTTCGGGTGAGATGCAGTCAAATAAACTTTATTGTATTAGCAAGTGTACTGACACATAACTCATTCTGTTTGTTTTCATATTCCATTTGTGATCACATAACAATGGTCGTGATATTTCTTTGGACTCTTTCTTTGAATAGTGGTCAGATTAATGTAGATCTGCAAAAATGGAGACTGCTTTGTGATCTGTTTGTTATCTGTTACAATGGTGAGTTATCAGGCCTTATGGTGTGGCACAGTGCAAGCTTGATATTTAGCAAGTAGCTGACGTGTTTTCGCAAGATGCCAGGTCACCGAGACAATTCTCACCAATATATATATATGACAGAGCAGAATAGGGTTTTTTTCACATGTTCACTGTACTTCTGTGTTTACCTGTGCTCGGTAGCATGATGGGTAAATGTCTGTTCCTCATGCCAGATGAACTTTGAATATCTGTGTTGTGTAATTTCTGCTTCTGTGACTTGCAGCAAGCTTTGAAATATTTCCAGTCTGGCTTTGACAGTGTCATGAGTTTCTTCTCGGCCCGTTGCAGAACTTGATGAGGCTCAGGAGGTTGAACCTTGATGGAAACAACTTCACTAAAGTGCCGGCTCTCCCTCCCTCACTGGTGGAGCTGAAGATCAACGATAATAAACTCAGTGGTCTCACTCCCCACAGCTTTCAGGGTAAACACAAAACCACAGTGTCCGTATGAACTCACTATTCAACACTTGAGTCTGGTAAAAAAAAGTTTCATGTTAGGGGTTAATCTGGGCATTTTAAAATGACTTTTGTCTACTTGCCAGTCAGTTCATGCTTAATCCAGTGATTTATGGTACGCTAACTATAGCCCATAGGAAAGAAAAATCACAAAAGAAACCTTTTTAATGTTTATTCTAGACAGAAATTAGTTTAAATGGAGAGCAAATTCCTAAGAAAATGACCCCAGTCATCTCAAAATGTGCTCAGATTTACCAAGGTACTAAAATCCGAAATCAATAGTCAGAGATTTCTGAACTCAAATATTTCTCATGAACAGTTATCTCTTTTATTTATTCAGAAGTTTGGGGTTAGCGAGATTTTACATTTTTTTTTCCGAAAAGAATTAAGGATGCATTAAATTGATCAAAAATGAGAGAAAAGACATTTCTATTGCAGATAAATGCTTTTTTTTCCATTAAATAATCCAGTTTCCCCAAAAAATATTTAGAAGAAATGTTTCTTGAGCACCAAATCAGCGTATAAGAATGATTTCTGAAGGATCATCTAATACTGAAGACTGGAGTAATGGCTTTGCCATCACAGGAATAGATTACATTTTTAAATATATCAAAATAGACAGTTATTTAGACAGTTATATATTAAATAAACAGTTATTTTAAATTCTAATAATATTTCACAATATTACGTTTTGTACTGTATTTTTAAAATATTTAAAAATCTTACTGACCCCAAACTTTTGAAGTTTAAATGAAACATAACTGGGACTTCTATTAAGCTTCCAAATACTGGCAAATACTGACAAACTAAGAGTAAATGCCATATTTGGGTAATTTAATGTTATGTTTGCCTCAGGTTTGTCCCAGCTGCTGACACTGGAGTTAGAGGATAATTATTTCCACGATGGAAACGTCTCTCCTCTGGCCTTCAAGCCTCTGAGAAGGCTGATTTACCTAAGACTGGATGACAACAAGTTCAGGGCTATTCCCTCTGGTCTGCCTATTTCAGTACAGGTCAGTTACATTTTGTGTCTCAAAAGGCCAAAATTTAGTTATGTAGTGCAGTATATAATGGAATGTTGTTGATTTATAATGTCTTCAGGAGCTGCACCTTTCTGACAACAAGATAGAGGTGGTCCATTCAGGGCTGCTCAACAAGACCACAAACCTGAGAGTCCTGAACCTCAGCCATAACCGAATCCGAGAGGACCGCATTCATCCAAGAGCATGGATACACTTGCTGTGAGTTCAGATCACAGTTCTCTGCCTCTATCTCTGCTGTAATGTGCCATCTTGTGGACAATTACTGTATTTTATATGGTGAATAAAGAGTGGGAGCAGTTGTATAAAAACTAATAATTGAAATCTAAAAATTTCAATCAATGTGCATTCATACTTTATGATGCTTCAAAGATATTCAAATAATCATTATTGATGTACAGAGTCATGTGATGTAATTGTACATTATAATTTTATTTTATACAGTTTGGATTTGATCAAAAATACATTAAAAATATTGTGAAATTTTGCTATTTAAAATAACTTTTTTATTTATTTTAAAATGTAATTTATTCCTTTATTGTCTTCTGTTCAATGTCATGCATCCTTGCTGAATTGACTTATTAATTTCTTAAAATAATATTACTGACTGGCTCCAAACCTTTGAATGGTAGTTTGGGAGGCACAAAAGATATTATCATTTCAAAAATCAGTTACCAAAAATGGACACCCTGTTAGACAACTGCTCTAAACGTTTACTAATAACTATTAGTGTCACTGTGAACAAAAAGTACATGAACTTTTGGAAATGTATTTGACATAATATAACATGTAGTTACATAATAATATAAAATTAATATAATAGCATAATAGTAACATAATAACATAATAGTATAAAATTCATTATTTAGTATATAATAAAGTATTTCAAAACTATCTTGAAGCATCTTCAAAAATGCCTTTATCCACAGAAAACTGGAGTATTTAGACCTTTCCCACAATAAGCTGGTTCACGTTCCCTCTTTCCTGCCGGTTGGCCTGCGGCAACTCATCTTGCATCACAACCAAATTGAGCGCATCCCTGGCTATGTGTTCGGCCACCTGCAACCTGGTCTGGAGTCCCTGCAGCTGTCTTACAACCGTCTGCGTGAAGACGGGATAAATGAAGTGTCCTTTCTGGGCCTGTACAACTCACTGACTGAACTGCTGTTGGACCATAACCAGCTCAGATCAATCCCACGAAGCATTCTACAGTTAAAGAACCTGCAGCACCTGAGACTGAACCATAACTACATCAGGTTAGTGAATCTGTCTGTCTGTCTGTCTGTCTGTCTGTCGGTCTGTCTGTTTTAACCTGATCTTCTCCCATTAGCTACATCACTATGAACTCTTTGTGTGACACTACGGCCCGTGAGGACTCCCTGCTGGTGTCTGTTCACCTGGAGTACAACCTGATCGACCGCCGCCTCATTCCGCCAACAGCCTTCTCCTGCATCAAAACCTACCAGAGCGTCCTTCTGCGGCCCCAGAGATACGAAGAGCACCAGGAATGAAAGCGTTTTTTGGGGCTGTAGTTTACAATGCATCTCAGTTCAAGGCATAATTCAGAGTTTTAAGTGAAATGAAGATAAAGATGCAGCACATCTTTCACACCAGAGGCCTTTCATTTTGTGTAAGTTGTGTTTTAGTTGCGTTCTGACCATCTCTTCTCTGTCTCATTGGGGTCACATATGCTCATGCCTTTTTTTCTGCTTTACTACAACTAAAAACTACTGCAGACATTTGCTGTTTGATGTTAGTATTGGCTGTGTTTATGCTTTAACAGATTTGCAGGGCTTTTTGCACAGATTTACATGGTGCTAAATGTCCATCTATCCTGTTGCAGTTGACATCATATTTTTGTGTATGTCTGTTGTTGTTGTTGTTTGTTATCATATCTAATATCTGTCTTGGTTTGTTTTATACGTGTATGTCCGCAATTTACAATCTCTTATAAAGCAAACTTGTTTGTGCAAGGATTTCTTTCTTTTGTTTCAAAGTATATGCAAAGGGTTTTTAATATATCAGCTTTATACATTATTTATTTCTTGATTAAACTGCAATGCATCACATATTTTTATTTTAATACCATTTTAACAATTTTCAGTAGCAAAGGTTTTGACTTTTATATTCAGTTTTGTGATACTGGGTGTTGTCTGTGCTTTTGTATTCTCTCTGCCACAAACTACAATAAAGGTGACAATTCATCTGGAGTCAGAAAGACTTGTTTTTCTTCATTTTTTTTAATCATTAATATTATAAGCACATGTCTGATGGAAATTATGCATTGGTGTCCCGATGTATTTGTTCAAGGAGATGATTATTCAGCGTTTGTTCTGCGCTCCATGCAGCTGATTCTCTCATTGACCCACTAGGTGGCGTCAGTAGACATAAATCCTAAAATAATATAAAATGAATTGTGTGAAATAATTATATATATATGCATGCATAATGTGTATGTGTTTACATTCAATGCTGAGCGCTCACTTTTTTTCTTTCTTTTTTTCTTTTATTGTTTACAACCAAAGCAAACAAACTAACTGAACTAGCAGGTCAGTTTCTGTCTTGCTAGTCTGCTAGTTTGATATTGCTTTGTTCTAGCAGATGCAGACAGCACAGAGCATCACCCAGTGCTGAGTTGCAGGTTCATCATTCTGTATTATGACACTGTAGACTAGCACACTGGGCTGTGGCACTCTCTGGTTGCTCTATTTCTGTCCGGAGGAACTCTCTTAAAGTGGTAACTCACTGCCATAAGTTTTTCTTTTTCTACTTCACAGCAGGCCTCTGTCCCAGATTTATTTTCTTTGGGCCGTTCCTACATTGATTCTCCATTGATGTATATATTTCTGTGACTGCTCTTCATTTCCAGGGCGTGGGCCATGTCCTAAACCATGAAGAAAAACGTCCTTATATTAAAAGAGCATATCTCCGAGTAACATCAATCTTAGTGGGAAAATCTGGAAGTCTGTGGAAACACGTATTCATTGTGGGTCATAGCATGTCATACAGACACTTCCATGTAAATATATTGCACATATCTATCTATCTATCTATCTATCTATCTATCTATCTATCTATCTATCTATCT